ATATATATATATATATATATTACATGAATCATTCATGCAAAAAACAGATATAGAAGTTAATGATTCATGTAATATAAATTGAACTGCACCACATACTTGATATATAAATTGGACACTGTGGTAAACACCCGGTGTCAATAGTCTATTTCATGCTTAAACATTATCTTCAGGCCAGATAGCCTGTAGATTATGGTCAAGCATGAAACAGAAGTCGCTGCTGGGTGTTGACATTAATGTCCACTTTTATAATTACATGCGCTCTGTCTCCAACATTGAGCACTTTAACCCACAAATATAGCATACCATAAAATTGTATTTTATCATATATATATATATATATATATATATATATATATATATATATATATATATATATATAAGGAGAGAGAGAGACATGTGCTTCTGAAATGCTCAGGGAACGTAAGTTGCGAAATGACTTCCTGAAGTAAAGAATTTCAGGGGGAATGATCGAATACAATGTCTTGGAAACGTTGATAAAAAAAGGATTATTATAAAAAATGGAATCATTTAATATTAAAAATAATTTACTTAAAAATCAATATATATATATATATATATATGAAGATTAAGTCCGACAATTATTTAATATATTTTTTTTATTATAGGTTATTTTAATTTATATATATATATATATATATATATATATATATATATATATATATATATATATATATAGTGTTAGTGTTTTTTATTAACACTGTCCTTTGAATTTATCGTTACTTGACCGCTCCCACGCCTAACTTTAGTTATATTTTGTCTTAACAAACCAAATATTTCAAATCAGTGTCGTGGATCTTGGTTAATTAAGTCATTTTTCTCAGTTCCTTGTTTTGAAAAGTCATTAACATTCGAGATTTTGTTCAGACAAATGAACTTCTTTTTATCGTTCCCGATACATACAATTCATGAGAAAATAGATTTGCTTACGTATTGTACAGGTGACGAAAGCTGAAGACTGGGTCGACTGAAACGTCCGCGAAGAAGGAATTCATTTGTCCGACGAGAACATTGAAATGCTTTCTTTTATCTTTCATGTTCACTGTTTGATTGTGATCTGCTGAAAAGGTGATATCTACTTTTTGTCAGGTCTTTTTTTTTGTTTATAATATTAAGATTTAGTTTTCTATTCTAGATTAAGTCGTCCTGGGTATGACGATAAACTACATCTGCGTCCAGGGTAAGACGATAAACTACGTCCAACAGCAAGGCCTCTGATCAGGAGGTTATGAGGAGCGTGAAACCACCTCTTAATTGCGGGTTTTTCCACTTAAACAAAAAGAAATCAAAACAAACTAGATTACGTTACTTGAGGGGATTCAAAATTCCTTAGAATTTTATTCTCCAAGATAGATGCTGTTCTGTCTTTCTTAGCCAAAGTTCAATTCCCACTTCCTACGAGATCACCCTTCCTATCCAACTGTGTATTCCTTCTGTTACTTTTGTTCGAAAATATAATCAGTAAGCACTTTTTTTAACTAAAAGGCAAAAACGTTTCAATGATTTTAGAGTCCAATCAAATTGTTTTTTTTTTAATTTACTCTAAGTCATTTAAATTTACAACTTCCGTAGAGCAATGGTTAGTAGGGTTTGGCTATTGCACTAGTTTCGATTCTCACTGGTTATTAACGTTGTTAAACATTTATATTACGGTTTTTCTTATATACATATATAAGTATGTATGTGTGCGTATCCCCAAATTCACACACACACACACGCATACACACACTCACACACACACACACACACAAATATATATAAAGCAATTAATGGATTTTTTATTCCCACATTATTTCTTATTGCTGTATATGTATATACGTGTTTAAGTAGATGTCACTGTTTTTAACAGCGAAATTAATTTTTACAGACATACAGATCAAAGCTTTATTACCGAAAATGTGCCTCCCTGGATATACAGATACACGATATATATATATATATATATATATATATATATATATATATATATATATATATATATATATATATATATAAAAAGAAAATGCATGCGGAGATATACACGCTCATATATGTATTAATTGATGACACCATCTCCCACATTTCACTTCCCAAATGTTGAACAGCTTCATGATATAGAACAGTTTCAATTTCATTTAAGCCAATAATGTGACAAGACTAATATAAAAATTTCAGACATTGATTAAATACTAGGCCCTACTCTTTGAAGCAGAGACTCAGGCGAACGCCTTGTTTCTGAGACAATTTTTCGATGACCTTGAATCTTAAAAAAGGCCTTGTGTCACATTTGTCCTCGTGGGATGACAACGCAACATGTGAATATATCATTTTGTCACTCACAATCAAATTCAAAGATATTTTCAAGCAACGATAAAGGTCCAATAAAACAATTCTAATTTTCTAAGATGATCGCATATGTATTAAAATCACCGAAACGCGCTAACTTTAATGTATACTTTTGTTTTATGCACGGGTATCGATTTACTATATATATATATATATATATATATATATATATATGTGTGTGTGTGTGTGTGTGTGTGTGTGTGTGTTTGTGTGTGTGTGTGTGTGCGCGCGTGCGTACACGGGTGCTAGAGTATAAATACGCATGCGCAAAGCGATAAACTATAACTGCGCGTGCGCACAGGTAAATAGATAAAAATAATGTCTGTTTAAGTTCTGTACACTCCTACACAAACTTCTGCTTATTAAAAAAAGCAGTGTTTTTTTTTTTACGCAGGTTTATTGCTTTTTAAATGTATATATGGATTGTTGAATTTCGAAACAAAAAATAAATAAAATTTTGTTTTAGTTTAGCGCTGTATTCTTTGTTTGGTTTTGTGCTATTTTGGGTTTTTTATAACTATAAAAAGATATGAGAAAAGTGTTTGTCGATTATAATTGCCATATTATATTTCTTCAGTTAACATCGACCAATCTCTTTGTTTTCTCTTTTTAAATTAATCACTAGATTTACGCCGTTTATAAATATAAGTATGACAAATAATAAATATTAAATAAAAATACTTTAAAATCAGGTTATGTAAATTGTTTTTAGCCAAACCAAATGTTACCACTTCTGGCATAGAAGTACACTTTTTGTGTAGACTCAAAAAAGAAGTGGGTCTATTTTTAGCCATGAATTCATGTGAGGTAATTTCGTTTTGGTAATTCGTCGTGTCTTCGTAGACAGTGAATCAAAACGCCAACCGTAATTCTAATTTATATCAATAAATCTAAAATAACTCTGGTCGCTTTTTCTATCAGATCTGGCGTCTAATGTTTTTAGCTTTTTCTTTGTTTCGTTTTTTGCTTTTGAAGTTCTTAAAAGAATTTCTGTTACCGGTGATCTGAAGAAACTTTTTATTGTAGAAAGTTTTTTTTTTTTTTATGGGCGCCTATTGCAGCGTAATGTAATGAGTTCGATCCTAATAGGTATGATCTTCATGTACCAAACTCGTGTATGTTTAGTAAATAGCTATAATAAATTAGTAATTTTAGAATTATAACAAAACAATTGGAGAAAAGTTTTAAATAAAGGTTTTTCTTTTTTTAATTTGCGTACAAAAATTTCAATCGTACTTTTTTAAATAATAATAATAAAAATAAACGAACTCATTTTCTATCTTTCAAAAATCATGGTGTTGGGAACTTTTACACAGACCTAGTAATTGTCAATATATACGCGAATGTTTCATCGGCGAAAAAGATCTTTGTGCGATTAAATATTAATATATATATATATATATATATATATATATATATATATATATATATATATATATATATATACTATTTGAGTATATATATATACCATTTGAGTATATATATATATATATATATATATATATATATTTTTGTATATATATATATATATATATATATATATATATATATATATATATACTATTTTAGTATATATATACAAGTTGAGTATATACATATATATATACTATTTGAGTAGGTATATATGTACTATTTGAGTATATATATATTTGAGTACTATTTGAGTATATTATATACTCTTTGAGTATATATATATACTATTTGAGTATATATATATACTATTTGAGTATATATATATATATATATATATATATACTATCTGAATATATATATATACTATTTGAGTGTATATACTATTTGATATATATATATATATATATATATATATATATATATATATATATATACTATTTGAATATATTAAATCCGTAATTATATATTAAAACGATAAAATTCTTTATTTAATAAAAAGACAATAATTTGAAGGTAAAGAATATGCATGAAAATAAAGGCTTGTAATTCACTGATCTATACTCTTTAAGAGGGTTTTTTTCATTGGTTGGAAATAGATGAGATATGAGCTGACGGCAAGTACTTAAAAAGTTGTTCCAACATTACTCAATTTGGTAATATGCAAATGACACTGAACTTTGGAAAGAAAATTCAAGATGGTAGCGGTATATAAAAACAACAACACCCGGGAAAAATGTATTTGTAAAAAAAATAGAAGGAAAAGAAAGACAATTGAATCGGAGTACATTTACGTCAAATTGCTGTGACGAGAGAATTTATGATGACGTTTAATGTGGATAAAAAAGGGGGTTTATATATATAATAATAGGGAAAACAATGACATGGAACGAGGTAAAGAGAAGTTTAGTAAGACCTTTAAACAAATTTTCGAGAAAAAAATAAGGAGAGATAATTAAATTAAAAAAAATGTTATAAATGAAGATAAAGATATAAACGTAAAAAATTAATTAGAACGAAAGATAGACGAAACTAACCTTACTCAAGTCCTTTTTTCTGAACACAGACTACCGGTAAAAGTCCACATTTAAAATCGACGAAAATTTAGCTGCCACAAATGGCAGCCTCACATTTGGAAACAAGTGTGAAAAAGTTATAGTAATAATAATAATAATTTTTCTGAAGCCAAAGGCAGAGGAAGCAGCAGCAAAAATGTCGGGAGCGCGGAGTCTGAGATGTTGCCGACTTTACGACCGCAGTAGAGAGAGGAAGAGAAGGATAGAAAAAGCGGCTAACTTGATCTTAGCTGAAGAGAAGAGGAGGAGGTGTAGGAGGAGGAGAAAAGATAATGAAGAAAGTGAAAGGTACTCGGGTGGGCTTGGTCGGGTAGGCTTGGGGCTGAACGAAGAAAAAGCAGGCATCTAGCCAGTCTAAGACTGTGACGTTTCATTCAACTATCATCTGGGACAGCATGATAGCTTCTTAGCTCTTCCCTACTTTGCTGTGTAGGAGAAAAGTTGCGCTTTCCTACGCGCCTGCTCACACGCCCGTAGGGCAGGTACCATTATAGTAACTCGCTATGGAAACCCACTTTCTTTACCTCTTACCTAAGCCGCAAAAAGTCTTGCAGTAAAATGTGGTTGGTGGGTGGTGGGTGCTGACGCGTTCATTGGCTTTACATACAAATCAAGAAAGTTTGGTAGCTGATCGTGTGTAATATGAAGAAAAGAACAGAGAGAGTGAGATGAAGAGAGAAAAAGATGAAGAAGAAAAAAGAAAGCGTAAAAATGGTGGGGGATGCAAGTATAATATAAAGTAGGTTGGTAAGAAAGAAAGAAAGAAAGAAAGAAAGAAAGTAAGTAGGAAGGAATGAAGGAAAAAGAAAGAAAGAAAGAAGGAAGGAAAAGAAAGAAAGAAAGTAAGAAAGATAAAGAAAAAAGAAAGAAAGAAAGAAAGAACAAAAGAAAGTTTTATATAAGGTATTGTAAAGAAAAAGAAAGAAAAGCTGACAAAAAAACTTTTTAGAAAAAGAGAAAAACTGAGAAAAGTCATGAAAGAAAGAAAGAAAGAAAATGAGAGGAAAGGCAGGTAAAGATAGTTTAGGCATATAAGTAATGAAAGAAAGTATTGAAGAGAAAAAACTGAGAGATGGGGAAGCAGAAATGAAGACGAAATTTATTAAAGAAAAAATATTGAAAAGAAGAAAAAAGAAAGAGAAGTCCAATCTGGGTGGAAAGATGAAGGAAAAGTAAGTACTAATAAGTAATTCAAACTTGGATGTGTGAGCCGAGGGGAGTTAAGAACGAGATAAATAAACTCTATCTTGGCCTGAACAGATTGACTTGTGTGCATTTTTAAAACTCACAAATGCTGATGAGTGAGAGGCATGGAATTATGCAGCACCAAGGTACTGAGGTGAACTTCGTTTACTTAAAGACTCATTGTCCGTGAAGGGACCAGACAAAGAAATCTGTGCGTGTGTGTGCGTGTGATGGTCGGGGAGGATAGGAGTGGGCTCAAGTTTAAAATTCTCCACCATCTCTCACCTTGGCTATATTTATACAATCTTAAAAACAAAAAACAATAATAATAAAAAAAAAACACTTATCAACAATTTTTTAAACAAAACAGCAACTGAAAGCAACTCAACAGCAAACTAATTGTTCAGTACAAAATTGGAAGCTTCTTTATGGCTTCGAAATAATACTTTTTAGCATCCCCATCAGAAGCCGAACCTAACGCACGTCACGTCGGCGAAACGCGTCGTTTAAAATTTTTTCACTCTGTTTCATTATCTCCACACACACACACACACACACACGCACACACATTTTTTCCGTTTGGTGGGAATGAGGGAGTACAAAATCTGTCCGTATCGCCCATTGTCCCAAGAGATTTTGGCCACTTCCTTAGCCATTTTCAAATTCGTGTTAAAAGACTTTTAAAAATAGAAAGTCGCCCACGAATTCTAGTCATGCCCAACACGCGATGGCTCGGAATAAACGCTCCTAGTAGAATACAAAAACACACAAATAATACATCTCACACAGTCAAAACATGAAAAGAAACTAACAACATCGAAACAAAACCCCTTTGAAAACGGCTTAGGAATTGACCGAAAGCGCTTGAGACAATGGACGATATGGACAGTTTTTGTATTCCCTAACTCCCAACACACAGAAAATGTAAGAACGTTGGAAAAACTAAATAAAAAAAAAATGAATAAAATTTCTCTTGCCGTCAAATTTAAAGAAAGATGTTTAAAAGAAAGATTGCTGCCCAAATAAAATGTAAACGGCACAGCCACTCGTATCCGTCCACCGTTAGCTAATCCCCATTGCAGACGCCTACTCAGGCATATTTGTGTTTGTTCAACACCCACAGAGACCACCTGAGGTTTATACTGCAACTATGCTGAGCGGACCTTAGTTAGTTCCTGAGAAAGTGCGTATATATATATATATATATATATATATATATATATATATATAATTAATTCCCTCGCGATCCGTGTAGGTGAAATCTTGGTAGGTTTATCCGATTCTTTAGGTTTAATTAGGTTTGCTCTACTTAGCGTATTGAGCACTTTACTTAGTTATTTTACTTACTCGTATCGGGTTTTTTTTCTTTGGACTCTGAACTTGGATGTTAGACGATTGTCTTCGGCTGACGTATATGTCCTCTGTTTTTTTTCTTTTTGTACCTTTTTTTCCCTTAGGTATTGTTCTGTTTATTTACATATCAAAGTACCCAAGGCTTTCCGGACGAGTATAATTTCTTATGTTTATAAGATTATTACTATATATATATATATATATATATATATATATATATATATATATATATATATATATATAAAATGCTCTTTTATAATAAACAGTATTAACTACATTTACCGGCATGAATGTCCGAGCAATTTCATAAAAATATACATCCTCCGATAGGAATCAAACCTGTATCCTACATGGAACCGTCATTTGACCTGAGGTGCTATACCATTTAGCTACAGAGAAAGCGTCTGGTTAGCAAAGTCAAATTACTGTTTTTAAACGACAAATTTCCCATGATTTAAAAGCAGTAATCAAGCTATATGACGGTTCTGTGTTGGATACAGGTTCGATTCCTGTCGGAGGACACATATTTTCTATGAAATTTCTCGGACATTCAGGCTGCTACATATATAGGACACCATACGTATATAGTTTAGGATTTCGATTTTTATAATAATTATTCTCTCCGATACTCTCTGGACGCTCCAAACTTGTAGCCTTGTGGCAGACTAAGTTAAGTCTTAGTTTCTATTTGTAATAGTTATATTCTGATTGTCAGAAATTTTTTACATTATTTTCTTGATAATTCCTTTCTGTCTTATTTATTACGCATAACATACAGATTAGTTGCTGAAATTTTCGATAAAAAAAATGCCAAATTCAGTGTGCCTGAGAAAATGTAAAGCAGTAGTCGAATAGCAATAAAGATGTTTTTATTTGACAATTCCTATCCGTGATAGCATGGCATATATAAGCTAGTTTGTATTAGTGCCCGAATTTCTAGTTTTCTTGGTCATTTTCTAGAATTCTGATCTTTGGTCAGATTTTGAAATGTGGACATCCATCGTATATATACGATGTTTATATGAAAAGCGCCCAACTATTTACTATTAACGAGTAAACGGTAATGATGCCCTAGTTCGATTCAAAATGCTTCCCTTGGGTCACCACAGAATTATCCTAACATTCTTTTAACCTTTTTATAAAGCAATCTGGAATGTCATTTTATGGGATCGCCATCAGCTGCCGCATTCTTCATCATCTTGTCCCCGTCTGAAATCTCCATTTTAATTTTGGAAAAAAAAAATCAATAGTTGCATACAATACAGCCAAATACCATATTGGTTATCTTATAATCACAACGTTTTGTGTCTTCTGGCTTATTTTAGATATCCATTATCGTAAATAAGAAGAAAACTTGTCAAATAATGAAGGTCGCTGTTCCAGTAGAGCCCCAGAATAAAATTTAAAAAAATAGAAAAAGCTGGGAAAATATCTGAAGATTGCCAGAGAGTAGAAAAATTGGGGAAAATAACCTAACTTTGTTGAGCACCTTTCTTAAAACGTTGTGTCCATCTTAGATCTGTCTCGGTTGACTTCGGAAATTTCAGAGAGGACTGGAAATCCCAGAAACTTCGAAATCATCTAAACGATGTCAACGATGAATGTTGGAGTGGGTGCCTTGTTGTCACTTAATCTCTAGTGCAATCCCCTAATATCAAAACTCAATGTACGCAATTCTAAAACGAATACAAACAAAAAAAAAAGAGATAATACAGGATAGCGAGCAGGCGCGTAGGAAAGCGCAACTTTTCTCCTACACAGCAAAGTAGGGAAGAGCTAAGAAGCTATCATGCTGCCCCAGATGATAGTTGAATGAAACGTCACAGTCTTAGACTGGCTAAATGTCTGCCTTTTCTTCGTTCAGCCCCAAGCCTACCCGACCAAGCCCACCCGAGTACCTTTCACTTTCTTCATTATCTTTTCTCCTCCTCCTACATCTCCTCCTCTTCTCTTCAGCTAAGATCAAGTTAGCCGCTTTTTCTATTCTTCTCTTCCTCTCTAAGTGTCATACACTTAGAATTGTGGGAAATGATTTGTAATGAACCATGTAACGACAAATGGTATTAGAAGAGAGACTGCTCAGAAAAAGAAACGTCATTATGAAGTAAATTGGGATTTCGACATCTCTACTGATCACCTCGTCTAAGAAAAAGATCTGACAATCGGGATTATGTAAAAAAAAAAAAAAATAAAAGAGACCGCAGCGTGAACCTGAAGGAAAGTAAGAAATTATAGAAATACCAGAACCTTACGCGGGAGCTGAGAAAAACATGTACTATGCAAGTTAAAGTCGGGCCCATTATGTTAGTTGCAGAGTTGAAACTGTGCCAAAACCATTGGAATTGTGATTGGATGTGTTGGAAATCCCAGAAAAAGTTGATATTGTACAGATTACATAGTTGCTGGTGTTTGAGATGATACTTAGAAAGGTACTGGAGATCTGGGAAGACTTGCTGTCAATCATTCCACAGTGATGACCAACATACGCCTGGTGTGAACATGAAAGGGCATGAATAATAATAATAATAATAATAATAATAATAATAAGAAGAAGAAGAAGAAGAAGAAGAAGAAAAGAAGAAGAAGAAGAAGAAAAAGAAGAAGAAGTAATGCAAGTGAAGCATAATACACTGACCGTAGCTGCAAAATACTTCAAAAAGAAAGCAAAGGCCAATACAACCTACTAGATACAGAGACGATGGCAAGATAAATTGCTTCACGATCAATATTCTACCCGTACTAAACAAGCTGATGTCGACAAACCCCATACCCATCAGTGGCGACGTAGTGCAGGGTTAAAAGCTGAAACTGAAGGTTTTATCCTTGCTGCACTGGAACAATGCTTGTTAACTAGAAATTATCAAGCACAAATGCAGATTCTGTGATAAATATCCAGAAACAATTTACTATCTTGTATCAAGTTGCATGGTATTGGCACTTACTGAATACAAAACTCGGCATGACAGAGTGGGCCCAATATCTTTCATGGATAGGAAACGGATATGAACACCACCCAGACCCAGCTACGGAGATAGGGCCTGTAACAATTTTATGGGACTTTACAATATACAGAAAGAACAATCAATTTTAATCGCCCAGACATCGTAATTAGAGACCGCAAAGACAAAATATGCCTCCTTATTGACATGGCAGTCATTGCAGACTGCAATCTATCTTTGAAGATCTTCAAAAAACTATCAAAATATAAGGACCATGAAATCAAAATCTCAAAAATGTGGCACACGAGGACATCAACAATCCCAGTTGTAGTTGGAGCACTCAGATTGATAGGAAAAGATTCCAATAGACCCAATGAAAGGATTCCTAGTAACCTTAAAAAATTGTTCTCACAAGTACAGCGACGATTTATCTATGTAAAATATGTGTGATT